AATATTTTTATATGGAACGTCTTCATAACGACCTGGCTCTTTTTCACACAACACTTTTCTAAGGTGAGTATCCCAAATATGTGAATAACAATTATATCGAGTTTTTAAAGGATCAGTACATCCTTCAAATGTACATTGCCAATTTTTTTTTCTATGCTTTCTTGTTCTTGGAATTTCGGCTGAGTTAACAATAATTTTTGCTGGTAATTTAGTTGATGTTTCGTTAATTTGCATACAAAATGAAATAAAACAATCTTTTTGTTTCATAATTTTTCTTATTTTTTTATTTTATTCAATATTTTTGATAATAAATTATAATTTATTATAGTTTTTATTTATACCATTGATATTACAAAATTATAGAACATAATACAAAAAATAAAATAAATAAAAAATTATAGAAAACTTTCTTCTTATCAAAAAATTATCTTAAAACTAAAAAACTAAAAAAGAAACAACAAGATGTTTGGTAAGAAGAAACAAAAACCACAAATGGACACTTCATATGTTTCTGTTATTGATGGTGTGAAGAAAATTTATGATGAAAAAATTAAAAAATTAGAAGCTGATTATAAATATGATTATTTAGTCTCACCTCTTATGAAACAAGCTGACTTTGAAGCTAAGCCAATGGTTTTATTCCTTGGTCAATATTCTACTGGTAAAACCACTTTTATTAATTATTTATTAAATTATGATTACCCAGGTTCTCATATTGGTCCTGAACCAACTACTGATGGTTTTATGGCTATTATGCATGGACCTAATTCTACTAATATTCCAGGTAATACTTTATGTGTTCAATCAGATAAACCATTTACTTCATTGTCTAAGTTTGGTAATGAGTTTATGGCTAAGTTTAATGGATCATTTTGTAATCTTCCACTTCTTGAACATTTAACTTTTATTGATTCTCCAGGTGTTTTATCTGGAGAAAAACAAAGAATTGGTAGATCATATGATTTTAATGAGGTTGTAAGATGGTTTGCTGAAAGAGCTGATATGATTGTACTTGTATTTGATGCACATAAATTAGATATTTCTGATGAATTTAAAGGAGTTATTGAAGCTGTTAAGAAACATTCTGAAAAAATGAGACTTGTATTGAATAAAGCAGATTCTATTGATTCACAACAATTAATGAGAGTTTATGGTGCTCTCATGTGGTCACTTGGTAAAGTTATGCAAACACCAGAATGTCTTAGAGTTTATGTCTCTTCATTTTGGGACCAACCATTTAAAGAATCATTATTTACTGGATTATTTGAAAAAGAACGTGATGATTTAATGTATGATCTTCATGCATTACCAAAACAAGCTACTGTTCGTAAAGTTAATGAATTATGTAAACGTGCACGATTAGCTAAAGCCAATGCATATATTACATCATATCTTCGTGAACAAATGCCAACATTTGGTAAAGATAAGAAGAAGGCAGAATTATTAAAGGATTTGAATACTGTTTTCAATACTGTTATGAAAAGATATAATTTGGCTGCTGGTGATTTCCCACCAATTGATGTATATAAAGAACGTTTACAAAATTGTGATTTTTCTAAGTTCCCTAAATTAGACATGAGAGTAATTAATGCAGTTGATGATGCTCTTGGAACTCAAATTCCATTATTATTGAAAAAGTTCCCAATGGAAGATGATTTATCAACTCATACTAATCCATTTGAAGTTTCAAGTAACTTTGAAAAATGTTGTATTACTCTTGATGTTAGTGAAGATGAAATGAATTCATATCAAAAAGAATTTGATAAATTACCAAAGAATGAAGTTGGTAAAGTACTTGGTAAAGATTGTTTTGCACCATTAATGGCTAGTGGAGCAGATAAGAAGGATCTTCAAAAGATTTGGTCAATTGCAGATTCAGGAAAGGAAGGAGCATTAAATGCACATCAATACATTCTTGCAAAGGCATTAGTTAGAACATTATTACAATCAGGAGGATATCCTGATAATCTTCCACCAGTTGAATAAAAAAGTTATTAGTACTATTAAGATACTTTTACATTTTTATTAAAACCTTTTATTTTTTTTTATTTTAAATTTTTTATTATTAATTAATCGTTTGTTCTACTACAAAATCAGGTCTTTTCACATTTATTCCACGATCTTTTAATGCAGATGCAACATCTTCTAGTGTCATTGTAGTAACAGGTTTGATAGCTGAGTGTGAATGAAGGTGTGTCAGTCCATATGCTTGAGCATCTGTTATAACTTCAAACATAAATTTTTCAGTGGCTAGAGCAACTGCTTTAGCTATTTGTTTATCTTGAGATTGAAATCCAGCCATTGCCATATAATGATTTACTATTTCAGTTGGAATCTAACAAATAAATAACTAGTAAAAATGGTTAGTATTAATAAAATACAAACTACAGAATACCAAATTTGACAGTTTTCATGAAACTGTTTCATTTCAGGTTTAAATATTTCTACTGGAGCTTCTTTTGATTGATTACTAATAAATTAAATGATATAATAATCATAAGAGTAATAGAGGTGGAAATGAACAAACGTATTCATCATATTGATTTTACAGATTTTGATTTAGAGAAAATTGAATAACAAAAAAAAAGAGATCATAGAAGTTATAATATCTATTTTAATAAAGAAGTGACTGGTTAATTCATTGTTGAGGGTTTTGAGGTAGATGTTGTGAGGTCATTTCTATTTCTTTTTGTGGTGTTGGGTTAGTAGTGTTTTGATTTTTAAGAATATTTTCTACAGTAGGTTGTTGAAATGTTCGCTGTTGGGAAAGTTGTTCCATTCTAAGCTGAATCTCTTCTTCAAAGGTTAGTACACGACAACACCTTCTAACTTCAACAAATATGTAACAGATAAAGAAGCAGACATTTGAAACTATGAACAAAATATTTAGACTACAACACAAATAAAAAAGAATTGTACTGTTAGTTTCAATAGAATCTCCACAAGTAGTACATGTTCCATCATTTTCCATTTCTTTAATAGTAGTAAATAAAAGGTGATTATCATAAAGACAAGAACATTCAGGTTGAATTGTTCCATTTGAAAACACATAACAACAGTGAAACTAAGATATGAATAATATAATATTACAAGTAATAAAAAAAAACAAACTTGTTTCTCAAAACCATGTTTCTTAACTTCAGTAAAATTTTCAATATTAATAACTTCAAATGCCCCACCAACCCAACTAAGAATAACAAGAGGAAGAACAATAACAGTCTCTAGAAATAAAAGAATAATAAAAAGTTTTCTTATTCTTCTATATTCTTTCTTATTATAAAAAACAAAAACGGTTGCAAAGAAATGGAAAACAACTCCTATAATACCAAATACTAAAGTAAGAAGAGAGGACATTAGTCTATATTTTGTTTCATTTTTATTAATTGTCCAGTGAATAGATATACCATAAATTGCAGCAACAGAATAAAGACATGCAATAGTCTTGAAAGAATAAGTGACAAAAAAAAGAGATATAAGAAAGGGTTACAGAAAACAAACAAATAAGGCAGACAAAGTTCCAAGAACAAACACTTCTTTCATTTCTTAAAGAAATGAATATTAAAGATATATAAAAAAGGAAATTAATTTTTGGGATATTTTTTTAAATAAAGTTTCAAAGAAAAATAACAATAAAATTATTCTGAAAAATAAGGGTGGTGAAGAGCATCCCGAGCAGTTATTCTTTTAGCAGGATTATATTGATTACAAGATTCAAATAAATTAATTCCACTTTTATTAAGTACTTCAAATTTTTGAGATAAATTTTCTTTCTCAAAAACAGGTAATTTATGTCTAACTCTGTTTTTAAGATAAGTAAAATCTGGCCATTCTTGTTCGTCAGGGTATCCTAATACTCTAAATATTTTTAATAATTCATCGTATTCACTTTCTCCTCTATAGATTGGTGCTCCATAAGCTAATTCTCCAAAAATTGCACCGATTGACCAAATATCAACTGATGCTTCATAATGAGTTGCACCAAGTAATATTTCAGGGGGACGATACCATAATGTAATGATTTCAGTAGTATATTCTCTTAAAGGAATTGTTACAGCTCTAACAAGACCAAAGTCAGCCAATTTGATATTACAATATTTATCAATTAATATATTTTGTGGTTTTAAATCACGATGTAAATATCTTCTAGCATGAAGATATTCAATAGCACTGAGTAATTGTTTCATCCATTTTTTAATTACTTTTGGTTGAATTTTAGAATGACTTTTGATATACTTTGACAAATCACATTCACAGTATTCAAATACCATTCCTAAAGAATCAACTTTATTTTCAACTGAAATTAATCTACAACACATAAATATAATAAATAATTATAAAGATGAAAATTAAAACAAACTTAATTATAAAAGGATGTCTTAATTTAAGTAATGAAGAAATTTCACGAAGAGAAGTACTAGAAATTCCATCAGAGTCATTTTCACCTTTAATCATTTTTAAAGCATAATATTGTTTATCATGAACATTTCTAACTTTAAAAACAAAGCCATATGTCCCTTCACCTAATGTTTCAATCTTTTCATATTTATCAAAAATGAGTTGAGTATTAGAACGAGTTCTTGATAAAAAAGATGAGAACATAATTATTCCGAGTGATATAAATTTTTTTTTTAGTTTAAATTTTTTTTCAATTAAACTATTAATTTAAAAAAATCTAAAAAAACTTATTTAATTTTAGGTTTTATTAGAACGAAAGAATTGAATAACAAATAATCAATAAAAAGCATCATGAATGTTTGTAGTTAAATTTCCAGTATCATAATGATATTGACAATGCATTCTTCTACTGTTTAAATATTTTTTATGTTCACTAGAAGTAAAATTAAATTGAAGTTGAAAAACAAGTGTTTTTAATTTTTGATAGAATTCAAATAAAATAGAGGTATTTCCAAAAAGAAATCCTAAAGAAATTAAACGACATTCTATTTGTAATTTTTTGAATTGAAAAAGAAGAAATATAATACAATTAAGACCAGTAGTAATTACAGTAAATAATATAAAGAGATAATAGTATAAATAATTATGTTGTCCAATACATGTTTGTAATAAAATACTATGATGGTCATGTCTTAAAATACATCTATTAAAACATTAATTTTATTCATTAAATAAATAATATTTATTTGAAGTACAAAACAAACGTTTCACAAATATCACAATGAGTTACTCTTGGTTGTTTGATTGTGTTGCATTTTAAACAAAAATCTAATGAATATTTTTTATCAAAAAAAACATTTTTATCAATTGCATTAACATCAAGATTTTTAGTATTTGTATGTGAATTTGCAAAGGTTTTTCTAATAGGACCAACCCAATAATTATATTTATTATAATCTTTGTTATGTGGATTAATATAGTTGATGACTAACATATCTACACTAATTAAAAGTTCCAAAAAACAAATTGGAAGTCTTAATTTGTAAAATAACTTACTTTCTTTACTAACTTGAATGTTTATATAAAAACTTATAATTCCTATTAAACCTGTTATAAGATATAAGTAGTAAGGTTTATTCTTTTTGTAATTAGGCATCAAAGAGATGAGATATCTAATTTAGAGTTTATTTTAAGTTCTATTTTTAATACTAATTTAAAAGAATGATGAATTTTAATTTATTACTTAAAATTTTCTCTTTCATTACTTTTTTTGTTATATATTACATTCTTTTTATTATTAAAAAATATTAAAATGTACTTTTTCTTGAATTTGTCTCTTTTATATCTCTCAGAGATACAACATCTGTTTTCATTATAATCAACAATTTAATGCAAGAAACAAACCAACAAGCAGAATTTAATGGAAATGATATTCTTCTTGTTTCTTCTGAAGAAATTCAAAGAACTCAAAAACAAAGAAAAAAGAATTGGAAATGTACTTTTCCTAATTGTAATGAACCTGCTAAAACTCGTTTTAATTGTTATGCCCATGTTTGGGATATTCATCTTAGAGAATACTATACACAAAAATTCCCATATTTATATTCAACAACAGCATTTAAAAAGACTCAAAATAAAGTGCCATTAAAAAATCTTTGTGAAAGTTATATGATTCAACTTGTTGAAAAACAAAGTATTTCTCAAAAATTAGAAGGAAACTTAAATAACAGAACACTACAAAATAGTAATAATCATATTGAAATTCCAACAACAGTAACAGAACAAAATTCATCAGATATTCATGAAATAGAAATACCATCATTTAATCAATTTGATACTCCAAAACAATTTCAGCCATTAGCAACTTTTATTAACTCAATTACTCAAAATAATTATCCATTTTCATTCTTACCTACACACCAAATTAATAATCAAATAGAATCCGTGAAAATAGAACAACCATTCCAATCAGCTACAACTATTGCTATAGAAGAAATAAATCAAATAAATTCTAATATTCAAGATAATACAGAATTCATTAAAATAGAAGAAATAACAAATCAAATAAAAAGATTACATGTTTTTGGTGAAATATTTGCTGAAAATGGATATTTTGTTCGATCAGATGTAAGATCTAAAACAGACATTCAAATAATTGAAAATGCATTAAATTCAATTCTTTCATTAGTTGGAAAGAAATATTCATATAAAAATGAACCAAATAAAGTAAAATATGGATTTATTGCACAAGAAGTTCAAAAAGTTATTCCAAATTTAGTTCAAAAAGATGACACTGGTAATTTAAGTGTTGATTATTTAGGTATTATTCCATATATTATTGAAGCTTTAAAAAGTATTCATGACAATTCAGTAAGTTTACAAAATTCATCAAGACAAGAATATATTGAATTGTCTACAAAAGTAGAAGAAGTTGTTTCACAACTTCAAAAATTAATGGAAGAAAAAGAACAACATATCTTTCTTGAAAAAGGTTCAAGAGCTTTTGGATTATTTCCATTAGAATTTTTTGGACCACCAATAATGGTATTATTTATGGCAATTGGTTTTACTATCTTTAGTATTATTCTTCCTTTTATTTTACCATATTGTTTTTTCAGTTTTATTATAATATTAGTTGAAACTATTATTCTTTGGAGTGTTATTATTGCTCAAAGAAAAGGAATAAACACATTATTTAAGTATCCACATTTAAAAAGTCATTGGTCTCTTTCTCAATTCTTTTTATGGATAACTGTTTTTGTACTTATTCATATTTCGTTTACTATTTCATTAATATTAGGATATGGTGGAATTATTATTTCTTCTATTTATTTTGGTATATTTCTTGGATTAGCATTATTAGCATATATCATTTATAACTCTTCTCAAATACTTCATAAAGAATTTATCATTATTGGGTTATTTATTACTGTGTTTGTATTAACTTTAATTTCAACAATAGTACTATTTTATTTACAACCATTTATTTCTTTAAATATAAGAGAAATGGAAAAACCGTATCATGTTAATATATATCCTAAAGAACCAATAACTCCTATGGTATTATCATCTCCTCCTTGGAACTGTTTTTCTCCTCAAATACAAACTGATATTCCATTACCTCAAAATCTAACTATAGTAATGCCATCAAGTCCATCGCCCAACTCAGTTTTACCAACTATTCGAGGGATTGTTTCTAGTGATATTTCTACAACTACCATTGACTTTTATATTGTTTGTTCAGGATTTATTAAAGTGAGTTATGGTAAAGTAACCTTCAAATCTTGTGAAACAAAAACAAATCAAAATACATGTTTGACTAATAATTGTGGATGGTGTTCAGTTACAAAAAAATGTGGTTATTGTGAAGATATTAATAACTTATGTAATAATGATGAGACACGTGGTTGTTAGTAATAGTTTAGAAACAATATGTAATTAAATATTTCTTTTCTGTTTCGTTGGTTTTTTTATTAATCTTCTCGTTTATAAAGTTTAGGTTGAAGTGAAGTATACTAATCATTATATCTTTTTTTTTGATAGTTCTGTTTCAAGGTAATGAATTCTTCTTTTAAGTTATTCACGTTCTTCTTTAAGTTGTTTATCACTTATTAATACTTTAGTTAATGTAATAATTTGATTAGATAAAATATTATTTTTTGTGGTGGAAATGTTGTAGACCAAAATTAAATGATAGGTCTAGTTCATTAATATCCTTGTTTCTATTCACTGTCAGTTTCAGTTTAAATACCAGTATATGTATTAGGAAAAATATCGTCTTAGAATAATTCTGATTTTCTTGGACACAAAAAGAATTTGGAACCATTCCATGTGATAACTTTCATAAATTTAGTAATTTTACATTGCAACACAAGATAATCTCTTTGGTAACTCCTAATCCAGATGTGACTTTTCTCCTCTGAACGTATTAAGAGAATAAAAACCTGGTTTTTTATGAACAATTCAAATAAGAAATTGTAGAATCACTTGTACCTCCAAGATAAAGAATAAATCTGGATCATAAGATGACATAAGAATACCAGTCTGATTACCAACACTATATCTACAAAGTAAGACGTCAAGATTTCTTGGACTCCAGAATTCTATTTCTCTTTCATGATTTTTTGAAAAACCAATTATAAAAATTATTTCATTGTTGTACTCCATAAACACCTCATACCTTTAAACCCTCAATTTACAAGTTGAATTAAGTTCACTTCCAAGTCTATTCCATGAAACCAAATTAATAATATTAGTAAGTCCTCTAATAGAAAACACTTCTTTACCTTGTTCAATACCTCAAACTTTAATACTAGCACCAGCAGATGAAGTTGTTAAAACATTAGAAGCATATGGATTAAAACTACAGGTTCTTACTTTTCGCTTATGCCCTTGAAGAATTTACGAATTTTTTAGCTAAACACTCTTGCAATATTCCCCAAATACATATGGTACTATCTTTAGATAGTGAAGCTATTAAGTCATTATTAAAAGGGCTATAATCAAGACTAAGAACTGTTCCTTTATGTTCACTAACAAGACAAACGTCATAACGTTTTCCAACTCTGGTGAAAGGAATAACGGCAAAAGTTCCTCCTCCAGCTATGTCCTGAATCATTGAAAATGTTTATTCAACAAACTATTGTATTAGAGTCACAAGCAGAACTAGTCATTTTAGTTCCATTGTATTGTTGGTCAGATTTAAATTCAGTACCAAAAACATGTTTATATCTTAAAGTTCTTATGAACATTAAGATATGAATTTATAAGAAATAAAATATATTCAATGATGTTTTGAAAATTAAATGGAATTTTAAAAATATATTTCTAAATTTTTGTTAATTTTTAATTAAATAAATTATTTATTATAATAAACAGTATTTTGTTTTTTAGTTTGAATTAATCAATCTTTTCAAAAAAAAAGGAATATAAATCTTAAAAAACAGAAAAATAGAAGTGTTTAATAAAAGAAAGAGATTATTTACACAATTAATTGAAACATTATAAATCAAAGATAGTACGTTCTTTTAAGTTAAAAAACATTATAGTAAAAAAGAAAAGATGAAATATAGTAAATGTTAATTATAAGAAAAATCATAAAAATTTTAAAGTAAGAAATAGTGATTTAAAAAGTGATATTTCTTTTATGTTAATAAATAAAAAGAGCTAAAACATAACCACTTTATTCTTCAATAGAGTGTGGATATAAATTATTATTTATAATTGTTAGATCATCGTTTAAGTGATTTTGATGTTCAATCATTTTATTATATCGTTATAATATTACTTCAATTTCATTCATACAATTATTAGATAAGACGGAGAAATGAATATAATTTATTCTTTTCTTTATTAAAGAAATATTTTAGTAAGAAAACAAAAATTGAAAGAAAAAAGAATAAAAAGGGAAAAATTGTTAGAAATTTAGTTTCAAAAGTTTTTATTTCAAGATAGAAAGAAAAAATTCAAAATTAACTTAAAATAATTAATGACACTTTCAGAGGAATTCAAATTACTTGAAGAAGATATTCAAAAAATTACAGAGCCTTATGTCTGTGGTGTACTGAAAAGAATTATAAGTATTATGAAAAGTATAAATGAAAAAAAGATATTAGAAATGTTTGGAATTAACAATGAATATGATGCAATGAATTTTGTTTTTACTCATGAAGTAAATGAAGAAATAAAGAATAATATATTTACACAATTTGGAGTTGATGTAGTTGTATACAACCAATTGGTAAATATTAAAAATGAGTTAATGGTTAATCCAGAAGAAATGGTTGAACAATTAAATGTTATGGATAATCAATTATTTAAATTTATCTTAAAACAATATGAATTTGATGAGCTAGGAAAAGGAATCATATTATTAGACGATGCTGGACTTTTAGAAGATGAGAAACATGAAATTGTGAAAAAATATGGAAGAGAATCTCAAATAACTATGAGAATTGATAAAATTGAAGAGATAATAAGTAAAATGAAATTTACAGATACTATCAAAAAAGAAAAAACACCTGAAATACATCAAAAGGATGATACAAAAAAGATTGATGATTTTAAAAAACAAGAAAGTGATGATAAAACAAAAGGATATGAAAATGTAATAATTAAAAAAGAAATAGAAAAGAAAAGTACAAAGAATAATTATAGAATAAAACAAATGGATGTACTAAAAAGACACATCCCAATAATGAAAAATGAAATTGGAATGAAACATTCTCTTATTATATTTGATTCAGTTACTGATGGATATGATGGAAATAAATTGTTTAAACGAGTGCATAACCAAAATAATATTTATATTGTTATTTTTGATTCCCAACAACATGGGTTTGGGGCTTTTATTAAAAGTGGTATAAACCAAATAAATGAGTGGAATTATGTATCTGAACATTTTCTGTTTACGATTGAAGATAGTTTCATGAAATATAATCCAAGAAAAGGAGTAAAAACTGGCATTGTCATAAATGAAGAAAGTCAATGTTTATTATGTATTGGAGCTCCTGGATATGGTTTAGTTATTTATAAACCTCCGTTTGCAAGGAGCTATTGTTATAATACATCAATGTTATATCATGCTGAAGATTTATACTTTAATCAATCAAGTGAAGAGAATGGCTTTTTACTAAAACGGTTGATGGTTGTTAAAGTTATGAATTAAAACTGTATTGAATTGGGGGACATTTAATTATTAAAAAGAATATTAATATAATTTTTTTTTATTAAAATTAAATAATTCTATCAAATATTTATTTTAATAAACAAAAAAGAAGATCAAATAATGGACATATCCACAATTGGATTTTCTTCATATTAAGAAGTGATTATTTCAGTTTCTTCAATATGCTCTGCTTCTACAATAGAGTTCCAAATATTTATTTTAATAAACAAATAAAAAAATATTTTAATTTTCTTTTTTTTTTAAATAAAAATGTTATTAGTAACAGGAAGTTTGAACCAATTGAATAAAAGGTTGAGTTACAAATGATTTAAAAAAAACACATTAGTATATGGCAGTTAATTAATCTCATACGTTATCTCTCAATGAGGTATAAAACATAATGAATTAAGATTAACTAAAAAATTATTGAAATATTATGAATAATAAAATTAATCTAGTGGATACAATGAATTGTAAAAAGATGTTTTAATTATTTGGAACATTAAAAAATGATGTATGACAATATTTTCATATAAGAGGTATGAAAGTGTTTACTCTGATTAAAAATATATGAAATAAATAAGATATATTAAAGAGTTTCCTGTTATATTAAAAAAAATTAAAAAAGATAATTTCATAAAAGTAAAAATATTATCATTAGTTTTTCATGGCATATTAATTACTTCCTAATAATAGGAGTTAAATATGATTATGAAATAAAATCCAGAAATATAAAAAAGAATTATTTATGAAAATATTTATAAATATATATAATAATAATCAGTTATACAAAATTTAAAAAAAAAAAAGAAAAAAGTATATAAAAATAAATTACATAGACTCTGACTCAAATATTGAGCGAATGGTTGGTTCATTTTTAAGTAAAATAAATTCTTCTTTCTTATCGAGCATTTGACAAACGATATCATTTATCCTAAAACCATAATCATAAATATCATTAATACCCATTAAGAATTTCCCATCACAATATATTTTTTCAATGTTTTGAAGTTTCATTGTTCCTTTTTTACCTTTTGTTGTATTAACTTCGAAGAAATATCCAAATTCTGTTAAAAAATCAAGTAAAAGATGTAAGATTTCCGTTTTCTTATTTGTTTGAAAACGTCTATTAGCAGTTTTTTCAGAACAACCAAGTGAAAGGTCATAACTTTTATGATCATTACATCGTTTTTGAAGAAATTCTTCAATTATAATTGAATCTTTATAACTAAAAGAAATAGATTTAATTTTAATAAATTGATGAGTAATAACAGCTTTCTTTGGTGGTTTTGTAATAGTAATATCACAAAATTGATTAAGAAGACCAACAAATACACCTTGTTGGCAAGTTTGATAATCTCTTAATTTTCTAGAAGTAATTTTACAAGGAACTTTTTCTTTTTGAGAACTTCTTGATAGTGAATATAAATCAATGGGAAACTGTGTAAACATAATAAGAATGAATGATTATTAGTATTCAAAAGATTCCTTTAAATAGATAGGGTGTTTTTTATTATTGTTTTTGTTCTTAATTCAAATCAAATTTTTTTCGTTTTTTTTTTTACTTGAGAAGTATTTAGTTTCTTATAGGATCAAGAAATATCAAAAACTCTAAATACTTTCCATGATCCAGCTTTAATTTTTTTTTTCTATCCTTTTACTTGAACTTAAGTTAATCAAGAAAAAGAACGAAAATAATTTCAATTAATTGTTCAATGGCTAATAAGATTCATTCAAATTAAAATAGAAGCAGTGGGTTTTTGATGAATTATCTCCAATTATTTTAATCTTTTATTTCTGTCATGTGAACAAAAATGAAAACTAACTTAGGGGAGACTATTTATTCTGGAAATGGAGAAGAAAAAGAACCTTATAGAAGTTAATTTTTGGTTTTGGGTTAGAAGGAGTAGAATAATTTTTGTTTCAATAAAGATCTTAAAAATTCTTTTACTAAAAATATTAATTGTGAATGGCGTTTTATGGTATTTATGTTTCTTATTTTTTCCTATATAATCTATTATTACTATTTTTATTATTGTAAAAAAGGTGCAAATCTTAGTGAAAAATTTGGAACAATTAATTAGATTGAATGATTATAACCTCTGAGCAAACACCACAAACAGGACAAAAAGCAGAATCAAATTCTTTCATTTTAGTTAAACATTTTGAACAAATAGAAAGATGAGAACATGATTTAAAAACACAATCAGCTTTATTTGATTGACATAAATAACATATTAATTTTGGTTGGTAGAGTTTCATCTTTGTGTTTGTTGTTTGTTTTATTTCTTTCATCTTAAGTAGAAGAACACAATATATGACTTTTTCTGTTTGATCTGAAAAGAGAGATATAATAATACCATCTTTTCTTTGGTTTTGAATTGTAGAAACACGAATAATATTTGATTGACTAAAAAAATTATATAATATTGGTAATGCTTCACATCCTGGATGTGCTGTACTTAATTCTTGAACAAAACTTAATCCATTTTGGTTACAGATATTTGGTGAATACAAACAAGTAAAACAATTATCAGGAGAATCCACTATAAGATCATTTTTGATTTTCAAATATTGAATAGTATAATTTTTTGTTTTATAACCTCCACTTGATAAAGGCACATTAAAACTATTAGGAACATGACTCATAGCACTAATCCCACCAATAAAGGTATGTGATAAATTTTGATGTATTTCTTGAAAAGAAACATTAATTCCCTTTTCAATAATATTAGGTATAGGTACAAATGCAACGTAGGATATTCCAAAACTTAATAACTGTCCTTCATCAAATGTACATTGAATCGTAAATCCATTTTTCCTTTTTTGTGTTATTTCTATCTTAAATGAAGACCCAACAAAAATATCTATACTATTTAGAAAAATTACTACTTCTAATTCTTCCTCATATGTTTTTGAATAATTTATGTCAACAGAGACATATTCTTTTTTTGATGCAACAACTGATTCCCAGCTATGATAATCTGCTTTCGAAATACCCCAAACAATATCCATAATATTAAGTTCTTTTATTTTAAGAATAATAATTATTAGTATTAAAAAAATTAATTCCTTTCACTAAATATTAATTAACTTTCTTTTTTCTCAATTTCAAATTTCTTGAGTTATTTCTTTAATATTTTTACATGGTGCATCTTACTTTAGTTTTATTATCTGTCTCATTACATCTCAAATAAGTTCATTTATGTGTTCAGTTATTGTTAACTACTCCCTAAAATTTTATCAGGTCTTTGATTATTTATTGAAAACAATTTGTTTGTCTGTTATTCCAAACCTTTTTATTTCAATGAACTAGCCATCTTCTCCTCTTTTGATTTAAATACACTGGATTTGACTTATGTGTTACAAAGATATTGAAACAATTTGTCAAAGTATTTTTATATGAAGATATTATTTTTTGTGATGTTGAAATATTAAAGAAAAGGCGTTTAATCTCATGAGTTAAAAACTTAAATGTTCGACAACAGTTATTACTCAATTTATCTGCTCAACAGATACCAAGAAAAAAAATAAAATGTAATTCATAGAGTGGTATTATCAAATAATAATAGATTAACACTATGTAATGATGAATATGAAAGTATCCAAAGTTAGTAAATTATGAATCTTATTATCAAATTCATTAATTTAATTTTTTGATGATGTTTCAATCATCATTTTTATTTTTTAATTTTAAAAATTAAATAATGAAATTGAGTTATTCTTATGCTTTGAGATATAAAACAGAAAAAAAGAAATGAGAAGGAAAAATAAAATAAAAATTAGAAAGCAGTTGTAGTTTAGATGGTAAAACGTTTGCCTTAATCCATTATTTAATGGTTTAGGTTTAAAATTATTTAAACAAAGTAAAAGTCGTGAGTTCAACTCTCACCAACTGCAATTTTTTATTTTTATAAAAATGAAATTTTATTTTAATCTTAAAAATAAATTAAATTTCAATCTGTATTGAATTTTCTTTTTCATTTGATTTATATGAGATTATTTCATTCTATTGAATGTATTATTCATGGGGTACTTCTATGCTTCTTTATTTCATGTTTATAACCATTAGATCTATTTTATAATCATTTCATAATGTTTTGTAATACTTTAT